CTAGGCAGGTGGGGAAGCTTGGCTTCCTCTGTCACTAAAGCAAGCAAGCCTCATGTTAGTTTCCAGCTGCCTGGCTGCCAGCCGCCATCTTCGCTGACAGTTAATTTGCATATCTCGCTGATTAGCCAATGGGAAGGGTAGCGGTCATAAGCCAATTACCATGTTTCTCTTTTATTAGATAGGATTAGTTTCACGTATGCAGCATAGTGGTTAGACAGTCATTTTCTTTACAAAGTGATCACCCCAATAAGTCTAGTATTCATCTGACACCATAGATAGTTATTAGAATACTAGTGGCCCAGTGCGTGAATTTATGCACATTGAAAGGAAATTAATTACAAGAAATATTATAATATTGCTATTTGCCATTTCTATATAAAAGAAGTGTCAACCAAATTCACAAACAACAATGACAGATCGAAACACACACACATGTGATTGGCACCAGTGAGAGTTTTATATGTATCGCGCATGCGCGAATCAACTTAGCCTTTTACATATATATAGAACATACTTGCTTAATTAGACCTGCTTTCTGATTTAGCAAACTTTTTCCAGCCTTATGAAGCACTCCAACTTCTCTTTCAGGTAATTGTCAGCAACGCAGCAGTAAATATCAACACGAAGTAGATTATTATTGTACATCACACAGGGAGAACAAAGGGTAAAATATTTAACTGTGGCAATGTTTGACTATATTCTATGCAGTGAGAAAACCTGAAGTAATTTTCAAGGTCCACCATTTCTTTTCTTTTCAGTCGGATCAAGTTTCTGAGCTTTCTAAATCTCCCATTTTTTGGCTAATGAAAAGAAAATAGGATTCCACCAAATCTCCTATCTACCTACTCCAGGACTTCTGTGAGGATCAAATGAGATGAGGCATGGGAAAATGCTTCACAGACATTTGGTTAAAGTGTAAAATGTTTGCACGTATATTCCCTATGCAGTAGTTTACATCCCCATGACTATTTTGTAACTGCCAAGTTGTATTTCTTAACCCCTTCACCTTTTTCACCCATTCTCCCAACCCTCCTTCTCTGGCAACCATCAATCTGTTATTTGCAATTTTCTTTTAACCTTTATTGAGAATCTGTTTTTAAATTTGGTTTAGATATTTTTTACAAACTTTTTCTGACTTGTGTTATCCTAGTTTCAAATGCTTGTTTTGAATCTAGAAGAAAACAGAGGAAATACAATATTATCACATAAATTGGCAATTATCCTAAGTCATATGGAAACCCTATTTTTAATTGAAATGTCTCTTTTTTTTTTGCAGGTAAAAAGAAATGTGTATGACCTTACGAGTATCCCCGTACGCCATCAGTTATGGGAGGGTTGGCCAACTTCTGCCACAGATGATTCAGTAAGTGACGTTGACTTACCAGTTTTATATCCTCGTTTCTCTTTTGCCACTTTCAGTCTAATTGACTGTAATAATAAGCAGAATCAAACTTTGAATATCCCATTGAAAAAATTTATAAATCAAATAATGTGAAAATAAGAGTTGTAATAATTTGAGTTCACTTGCAGAGCAGATATCATAAGTGAAGTATACCAGCTTTCTGTTGATAATATTACAATATCACTATCAAGAACTAATGCTGCTTGATTTGACTTAAGTTTTTCCTTGATCAAAAGAATACATTTAGTTATTACTGATGAAATGTCCCAAGCACAAAATTATTTCCCTTAAATTACAGATATCTTAAAGTCATTTGAACAGTTACATATTTAATTTTCAAACTACATTTTCTGTAGTAGACTGGTACTTTAAAAAATAGCTAAGTTTTACAGTTAATATTAATAACACTCCGTTCTTAAATATACCCATAATTTCCACTAATATAAAAACTGGAAGGAAAGATTTAGTCTGTCATTTTGATCTGTTGTTATATCTACTTATAATGATTTTCCTATTTTAATTTTGAAACCTTTTCTATCTCTGCCCTATTTCTAAATGATTATTCTTTTTTTCAAGAGAGCTTTATTATCTAAGGAGGCCAACTAAAATTACATTTTGACCGCTTTTATTCATAATCTTGGTTGTTTTAATCAGATTCCACCCTCTGCCTTTTTTCAAAAGTACAAAATGAGAATGTTTCAAGAATTCTGAAGTTAAATCTGATTTTTAAAATAAATAAAGCCAAAAACATTAGTTTTTATATTTTCTAGTAAATACTGTGTTTCTGTTTGGATAATAATTACTCCTCCACTCTCAGCACTGCCATTATACATTTTAATATGTGTGAATTCTTTGTGGAAGTCAGGAACATTTTTAAAACAAATGCTTATGTAGATGCTACTTGAATATTTATCCCACAGTCTAAACACTGTACCTTTCAAAAATGCTTTGTGTATCATAAAACTTTAAAAATGGAAAATAGCAAAACTTTTTAAAAAGTGTATCTTTCCAGGAAAAAAAATGTTTATGTGTAGGTATTTACAGTTATTTCTAAACACTAATTTTAACATTGCAATTATAGTATCTCAGAATTATTGGCTGGTTGTCCATGGCTAAAGGTAGCGATGTGGTTGATGGTTTTAGTTTGTTTTTCTTTTTCCCGTTAGAATGAGAAATTTGACAGGAAATGTGCTACATTTAATTTTACAAAAATAAGAGAGTATTTTCATAAGTAATAACCTTCTTCTTACCCAACAAGACATAAATAAACCAGAGATGTTCTTAGTATTGTCTAGTAACTACTACAATAAATAACATTAATAGAAGAAAATAATTAAGATCTAAGTATGTCGCTTAAATTCACTGAGCTTCAGTAACCTAATTTGCAGCATTATTAATGAGGGTTAGTGAGAATATGTGTAAGTACCTGACTCATAGTAGACATTCAATAAATGGAAGTCAGTGTTATAGTTCATATTAACACAATGTAGAAAAGGATCACAGGCAAGAATTGACTGGTTTAAGTAAATGAAATGCTATCTGAGATTTGCTTCAAAATAACCTATAGGGGTTGGGAATGATGTGGGATATATAAACAATTCAGGTTAGCTGTCTGTTGATCATTGTTAAAGCTGAGTGATGTGTATATTGAGTTTATTATATTATTCTCTAAACTTTTTCTATGTATTTGAAAATTTCTATAATAAAAAGCTTACAGCAAAAATAATTGTCTGGCTCTGGCCAGTGTGGATCAGTTCGTTGGAGCATCTTCCCATATAGCAAAAGGTGGTGGGTTTGATTCCTGATCAGAGCACATACCCAGGTTGCTGGTTCAATCCCAGGTCAGGGTGCATATGGGAAGTGGGCGATCAATGTTTCTCTCTCTCTCTCTCTTCCTCTAAATGAATGAATGAATGAATAAGCAAACAAACAAACAAATAAAATAGTCTGGTTTAAGAGCAAGAACATGAGGTAATAAAGTCTGGAAATGTCAGACTACATAGAGTTAGAAAAGCCAAAACTGCTCTTTGATCCCACAGTTGTAGAAACCAGATTGAAACAAGCTTATCAGATGCAAGTTCCAACAGTGATAGACATATTTAGTGAAATGTAATAAACTAGAGGTCCAGTGCATGAAAACTTGTGCACTGGGGGTGGAGGTTCCTTAGCCTGGCCTGTGCCCTCTCACAATCTGGGAGCCCTCAGGGGATGTCCTACTGATGGCTTAGGCCTGCTCCCCATGGGAGGCAACCAGACGGGCAATCAGGGGATGGTGCCGCCTCCATCACCCCGCAGCTGCTCCTGCCCACCTCTCTCTGCAGGAGGCGACCAGACGGGCCAATCAGGGGATGGTGCTGGCCACCCCAATCGCCCCTCCACCACTGCTGCTCATTGGAACTCTCCCCCGCCCCCCATCACCTTCCCCTCCCTCTGCCTGCTGGTACGCACCTTGGTGGCCTGGCTGCCTACTCACAGGCCCCACCCACTACCCACAGGTCATTCCACCGTTCGGTCAATTTGCACGTTATGCTTTTATTATATAAGATTCTTCTGTTGGCATAGTGCCTTATACATTTTAGGTGTTTAATCATTGAATTGAGTTGACACTGTATTTTATGATGCTCACGTTTTAATGATTTCCCCAAGAGTTCTAATGCAATTTCATTACTACAGGAAAATAGGAAAACGGCTAAAATTCACCATATCCAAGACTATAATGTTACCTAGTGCTGTATCTAAGTCACAGCAAACACAAGAGGGAATCTCCATTAAGAGGCTTGATTCTTTTTGCCTCATTATTCCTATTTGCACCTTCTCCCAGAACCTGTGAAATGATGCCTGCCCTCGCCTCCCAAGAGCAAATGTTGGCAGGATGTTGCCTTGAGCTGCATGATTTGCTACAACAAAGATGTTTAGGGCCAGACTGCTTTAACTGGTGCCATAGCAGATCCACTAACTCCAGTGCTTGAGTTTTCACAAAAAATGGTTTACAACTGTAGCTCTTAAGTAGATCCTAGCCAAAGAAATGTCATGAAACCTTTCTTTCATTAAGACTATTAAAACTCATAAAACTGGTGCTTGTAATCTAAATTGTTGCAGGCTATGGTGTTTTATACTTATTTAAATCACTGAAGTGGAGGCATCTGCTACAAAACAAGATCATCCTCACAGCTTGGGGCATGAATTGGGTACAGCTGAGAAATGTCAGCTGTGTAAACAGCCTGAAATGTGTTACCAACAAAAATATAATTAATTTCTTTCCAAGACAGTGTGCCATAACTTAATACTTGGAATGGTTTAACTTTCAGAGAAAGCACCTGAACATTTTCTTCCCAGTGCCAGAGTAGAGGATTGGTTATAAAGGTCATTAAAAGTGAGGTTAGTTTGCACTTTTCCTGCTCAGTTGCAGAGATTTGTGTGCCTAGGAATAAAGTATATTAACTTTAGGTACCAGTGGCTTTCTTAAATTTATGAAAATATCTTAGATCAAGAAGTTATGGATTTGGGATGATAGAAATGTTCTAAAATTAGATTATGGCGATGGTAGCACAATTGTAAATTTACTAAAAAATCATTGAACACATTAAAAATAAATAAGTTTTATAGCATGTAAAAATACAAAGCTATTTTTTAAAGATGTTAATATATAGCTAGATTAAAATACTCTTTAAATTTGTTTTTATCAGAAATACGTGGTCAAAACACAGGAGATGTTTTCTTCAGTGTACTTCTCATTAACCTTTTACTAAGCAAACAAGACAAAGAAAAAAATTTCTTATTATTAGGTTCCTGTAACATCTTGAATCACTTCTCAACCTATAGGCTATAGTCTTTTGACATTTTCTGCACTTTTCATTGAAGTCAACAATTATTTAAACAATTGTTGCGCCATCTGCCCTCAGAGTTAAAATAGTTTCTTTGCCTATAGTTATAGTACTCTAATGCAGTGGTTCTCAACCTTGGCTGCACATTAGAATCACCTGGGAATCTTTTTAAAATCCTGATTTCTGGGCCTCATCCTCCGGAAATTCTATTTCTTTGTTACTAATGTTGTAGCCCCAGCCCATAACAAGGAAACAGAATTTCCGGAGGAAGAGGCCCAGAAATCAGGATTTTAAAAAGATTCCCAGGTGATTTTAATGTGCAGCCAAGGTTGAGAACCACTGCTCTAATGGGATATGGGATACTGTATGAATTGTCAGTAACTCTTTCAGTTCCCTTTGCTTTCTTTCAGCAGGGAAGGTATCTAAAGCTTCACCAGTAGGGGAATGTTTTCATGCTGTGACAGACAGTTCAGGTGTGAGAACAAGGAGTTGCAAGTAGGCGAAATCTCATTTTTACACTTTAACAAGGATGCTCTTGGTTTCCAGAGAGTAGAAATAATTTTAACACTGTGAATTATGTCTAGACACCATGTTATAACACAGATAGTTTGAATGTATGTAGTTTATAAAAGTGCTGCTTTTAATAATGCTTAAACTAGGAGGAAAAAATCCTTCCGTTTTTAATACTTTTTTTGTCATGTGCTCCCCCTCCTTGAGATTATTAATGGTCTGTAGTTCTATCATTAACTGAGGAATGTTAAATCGGAATTTGAGAAATTAGAATTTTAGAACCAGAGGTCTTCAAGCATGTGTTAAGAGTCAAAAAGCTACTTATTAAATATTTTCACATTAAAAAAGAGATCATTTCGCCCTAACCAGTTTGGGTCAGTGGATAGAGCGTCGGCCTGCGGACTGAAAGGTCCCAGGTTCGATTCCAGTCAAGGGCATGTACCTTAGTTGTGGGCACATCCCCAGAAGGAGGTGTGCAGGAGGCAGCTGATCGGTATTTTTCTCTCATCGATGTTTCTAACTCTCTCTCTCTCTCTCCCCCTTCCTATCTGTAAAAAATCAATAAAATATATTTTTTTTAAAAAGAGAGATCATTTCTAAACAGAATCATTACATAGTAGCTTTTTTAGAAAACAAAACTAAAACCACACATACCCACCTTCCTTTTTTTTTTTAATAATAAAGAATTTGTGAATGAGATATTGTCATCAGATTTGATCCTTCTGATGGGGGTCATTTTCTTCTGTAACTTCTCCCCAATACATTGTGTTTGGCAGGTGTCAAATTATGGACGTTACCTGATCCTGGACCCCTGTCCTCCACTTTATAGTAACTGCTGTCCAGATACAGACTCTCACAATTACAACATACTTACCATGCTGTAGTTACCTATTAAGTAAACTCATAATCCTCCACTATAATCATTTCATCTGTTACTGCGAGGTAAATACTTCTGAAGTGCAGAATAAATCACAGCCAGCCTTGCTTGCTTATCTTCAATGGCAGCCTAGTACTTGCTGATTGATTATGTACAGATTTTTATGCTGGCATTTAAAATTCTTCATTCATTGGTCTGAAATGTCTCTTCCAGGTTTATTTTCTCATACAAGCCTAACCTGAATGCTCAATAAATATTTCTTGAATAATTTATTGAATGTGATTCTGTATATCTCAACCTTAGCTAAATACATATTTTTTTGTTTTTCAAACATACTTTGTGCTCTCTCCCACTCTATGTCATTTAACCATACAATTTTTTCCACCTAGAATACCTATAGCAATTAATTTCCTTTCTTTAAGACCTTTCTTTAAGTTTTATCTATATTCCTCATACCAAGCTGCCTTCTTCAACTCAGTTAAAAATTAGTTTATATTTTCATTATATTTATATTTTAATTATTTTGCTTTTACCTTCCTTCATTCTGATTTTGTCAACAGATGGGAATGATAAAAAAAAAATGACTTCCCAGAGAAAGGGATATTTAATTACATCTTAATTTGTCTACAGGTATGTTCTAAGACCCCCCCAGTGGATGCCTAAATCTTCAGATGGTACCAAACCTTGCATATACTACTTTTCCCCCTATATAATACACTAGAGGCTCGGTCCACGAATTCCGTGTACCAGTGGGGTCCCTCAGCCTGGCCCGTGGGATCGGGCTGAAACTGGCTCTCCGACATCTCCTGAGGGGTCCTGGATTGCAAGAGGGCACAGGCCAGGCCGAGGGACCCCAGCAGTGCATGATTGGGGCTGTGGAGGTAAATGGGAGGTTGACCAACCAGGGAGGGACAGCGGAAGAGCTCCAGGGTGTGTCTGGCCCATCTCGCTCAGTCCCAATCAGCTGGACCCCAGCAGCAAGCTAACCTACCAGTTGGAGCATCTACCCCCCTCTTGGTCAGTGCATGTCATAGCGAATGGTTGAGCAGCCTTAACGTATCATTAGCATATTATGCTTTGATTGGTTGAACAGACGTCTGGACACTTAGCATATTAGGCTTTTATTATATAGGATACCTTTCACTCAAAGGAAACACTTTATGGCTTCTCTTTGGCATATTTGAATTGCCAACATCACTACTCTTGTGCTTTGGAACCACACCGTCAATCTGATAACTGAGACAGCTAAGTGACTAACAGGTGGGCAATGTATATAGTGTGGCTACTCTGGACAAAGGGGTGATTCATATCTCCAGTGGGACAGAGCAGGACAGTGCAGGATTTCATCATGCTACTCAGAACAGCATGCAATTTAAAACTTATGAATTGTTTACTTCTGGAATTTTCCATTTAATATTTTTGAACTGTGGTTGACCATGGGTAACTGAAACTGCAGATAGCAAAACTGTGAATAGGGGAAGGTCATGGGTGGGGGATACTATATTTGTGTTTTTCCCTTTTGTAAATTCTAAAAATTGGGAGCAAGAACTATTTTCCTCATCTTTGTATGCTATGCAAGATAAAACAGTGTTTTATTCATTCACTCATTTGAATTGTTCAGAGCTCTACTAAATTGACATCTATAAGAATAAATAACAATGAATTTGTATGATCAGAAACTTGATTATCTGTTTGAGAATTAGATTTATTTTTTTCTAATAATAATTAAATTACCAAAATTCTGTAATGGCAAATATAATAACAGTAGGAGGGAGAAGCTACACTTAGCTGGTTTGTACCATTGTGTGTTTATGTGTGTGTGTGTGTGTGTGTGTGAGAGAGAGAGAGAGAGAGAGAGAGAGAGAAAGTTAAGTGAGCAGACCAATTCAAATTTGTTGAATCCCAATATTGCTATTATTTAGATAAATTAATGTATGAATTTCAGTTTCCTCATCTGCAAAATGAGGATGATGTTAACACCCTTGAAATGCTATTGTGAAGATTAAATTGATTACATAATAGGTTGAACCTTATGAAATTGCCATTTATTAAAGACAAAATTATTGAATATTCGCAATTTCTATTTACATTATATTAATGAAAAGTACATATAATTCAGGGGTTGGCAATTAGAATTGTCAGCCTAAATCCCACGCATCATCTGTTTTTGTAAATAATGTTTTATTGGAATATAATCACATCCATTTGTTTGTTTATTGTATACAGCTGCTTTTATACTATAACAAACAGCAGGTATATTTAGTTGTCACAAAACCACATGACCCACAAAGCCTCAAATAGCTGCTGTTTGGTCCTTTACAGAAAAAGTTTGCCAACCTCTGGTGTAATGTCTGGTATTTAGTAGGCATTCAACAAACATTAACTCCTTTTTCCCTTGAGTAAGCCCCTTCTTTATATTGCATACACATGCAGAATCAGAAGCATTCTTTGAGTAGCTTTAGGGTCATCTTATGATATTTAAATTACTATGCTAGCCTGTCCTAGGTCAGACAGATTCAGATAATCTTTGGACATTTTTACTGGCTTTCTCTTTATTTGGCAAGGTCATGGATAGTGTTGCTTCTGATGGTGCTGAGACTCAGTAGCTTCAGAGGGTTCACTGCCCTTGTCAACATATAGAGTCTTTTTACAAATAACACAGGCAAAGTCTAAACAGACGGGAAGAACAGCATTGAAAGCAGTAAAAGAAAGTTTGAGTTTAAAAAGAATGAAAACTTATTAAATGGACTATGTCCTTAACAGAGAAAGTGAAAAATTCAGGAGGGTGGATGAAGCATTCAAGGGACATATTGACTCAGTCAGTATGAGGAAGAATAAATGGAAGTGAGACAGCTTCCAGGAGGAAATATATAAGCACTGAAATCTGATGCTGTAAATCTTGATTTTGGTTTATTAAAATCATAAGCCTGTAGACTGCTGCTTCTGTCCATGATGGGGTGACTGCAATTGGAATTCTATTCCCTCTATAAACAACCAGAAAACCGAATAAAATATATGAAACAATTGTTTTCAGATATTAGACAATAGGTAGTATAGGATTCTGAAGAAGGAAACAAATGAGCCCTGTGGTAGTCTTACATTCTGTCTGGGGGCAATTTCTGGCTCCCAGAGCAAGGAAAGGAAACTGAAACGGAACCTGGTGATTTTATTGAGTTTGAAGTGACTGAGAGTGGAGTTCATGGAGGTCAAGGCAACTAGACTTTGCAAGGTAGAGTACTAGCAGAGAAAAAGCTCCAGAAAACTACATAGGTTTGCCCTAGTCTTTAGTTGAATACCAGTCTGTGCATGCATAAGATGACGTTCTAAGGACTGGGTAAAAACACTGACCAATAAAAGAACAATTAACTGGGAGCTGTAAGGCATACAATTCTTTTTTTTTTTTCCTTTTTTTTATTATTATTATTAGTTAAGGTATTACAAATGTGTCCTCATTTTAGGTGAGTTTTAAGTTCACAGCAGGTACATAGTATTCCCACATTACCCCACCATCCACTGCCCCCACTCTCTATACCCCCCACCAGAGTGGGACACGTTGACAACTGATGAACCCACACTGACACATCATTGTCTCCCAAAGTCAGTTGACATTAGGCTTCACTCTTGGTGTTGTA